GACGCAGGACGCAATCATGCAATTCTTCCAGGGCTACCACATCCCCAACGGCGCCATGGCCGTCCACCTCGTCCTCGGCACCAACTCGCGGCCAAACGGGGAGGCGTTCGTTGAGTTTGGGTCCGAGGAGGCGGCCGACGCGGCGCTGGCCAAGGACCGCGCGTCCATCGGCACTCGCTACGTCGAGGTGTTTCGCTCGAACCTGGAGCAGATGCACCAGGCGCTCTCGCGCGCAAACAAGTCCAACAACCTGGCGCCGGTGCAGATGCAGATGGGGATGGGCGCGGGCAGCGGGATGCCCTACGCGCCCTACCCGCCCTTCTCCCCCATGGGGCCGCCCATGTACGGCGGCGCGATGGGCGCGCCGGGCGGCATGGGCGTCGTCGATTCGGTGGTCAAGATGCGCGGGCTGCCATACAAAGTGACGCGCAACGACATCCTCGAGTTCTTCGCGGGCCTGTCGGTGCCGCTCAACGGGGTGCACCTGATGTTCAACGAGCGCGAGCAGCCGACCGGCGAGGCGTACGTCGAGTTCTCCTCGCCGGAGGACCGCGAGCGCGCCATGTCAAAGGTGGCGCCCGTAGATGCAGGGCCGCGGCCTCCCAACGCAGTTGCAACCAGCGCCTCGAGACGAGACGAGACGGCACGTGCTCGGATGCACCCCACCGCAGTCAGGCCCTAGGCACGGCATGGGCCGCCCTCCTCGCACTCCCGCGGCGGTCGGCGTACGCGGCGTCACCCTGACCGTGTGCTGACCGTGTGCTGCGCCCCTCGTGCGGCAGGACCGGCAGCACATGGGCGGCCGCTACGTCGAGCTTTTCCGCGTGAGCCGCGCGGAGATGATCCAGGCGCTCGAGCAGTTTGTGGGGGGGTACATGTCCAACAGCTTGCAGATGCATGGCGCGCCGCCCCCCTACGGCATGTACGGCGGCCCGTACAGCGGATCGTACAGCCAGCCGGCTGGCTTCGCGGGCATGCAGCCGCCGATGGGCGGGCCGGGCTACGCGATGGGCGGCATGCCCGGCGGCATGCCCGGCCACCCGGGCGGCGGGAAGGCGGGCACGCTGCGGATGCGCGGGCTGCCCTTCCGCGCCACGGTGGACGACGTCTATCGCTTCTTCAACGGCTTCCACGTCCTGCCGGGCGGCATCGTGCTCGGCCAGCGGGACGGGAGACCGAGCGGCGAGGCGTGGGTCACATTCTCATCGCCGGCGGAGGCGCAGCGCGCGCTGGGGATGAACCACAAGAACATGGGGAGCAGGTACGTCGAGCTCTTCGCCGCGAGCTAGCCGCGGCCATCGAGGGGGAACCCGCGTCATGAAGGGGGGGGGGAGGGAGGGCTGCACTGCGGCTGCACGCGTGCTTGGGAGGGGGGAGGGGTGGGGCAGCGAGGCCGGGGGAGGGGGGGGCGGGGGAGGGGGGAGGAGGCAGGAGCGGGTAGAGAGACCGAGTCCGGAGAGAGAGAGGAGAGAGCGAGGAGAGAGGCGAGAGCGAGCGAGAGAGCGAGAGACCGCCTGGGCGCGCCTCTCGGGCTCGGCGGGCGAGCCGAGGCCGTGAGCCCGTCGGCCGTCGGCACGACCGTGTGCTCTTACGGCGCGCCGTGGCCCTCACCGTGCTACAGCATAAACGTGTAATATACACGGTCTGTTTATTCAAAAGCGGGCTATTAAGTTTGGCCAACAGTAGGTCCGGTGCAACCCTTCGGCTATCCAGATCCGAGCTGCGGCGGGCTCGAGAGCAGCTGCTTGAGCAAGTCGAGGCCGGACCAGCTGTCGGCGTCGGTAGAGATCTCGAACCACAAAGCCTCTCCTCCGAGGCCGTCGGCGGGCGGTATGTGCTCTCGCCGCCCGCTCGCGACGGTCAGGATGAACTCGATCCGCCGGCGCAGCACGGCCTGCCCAAGCCCAGAGAGAGCGCGGGGTGAGCTCCCAGCTCTACCGAGGAGGGCGGGGGGAGTGGCGGCGCCTCGAGCGACGCCTGTCGCCTCCGGCTCTCCTCGTCCTGGCTGTCTGCCTCGGTCGAGCGGCCGGCGCCGTGCGCGCCCGGCGGCATCTGCGCGCCGCCCATGTGCCGGTGCAGCTGCGCAAAGTTCGGCACGACGACCAGCGGGATGGTCCAGCGCTCCCAGACGACGCGCTCCTGCGCCGGAGCCGGGAGGGAGGCTGAGCGAAGCGGGCGTCGTCTCGCGATGAGCAGGCCCGGGTCGCGCCTCGGAGCGGAAGAGACCGAAGGCCGCCTGGCGCGCGCGCCGCTCAAAGAAGGCGAGCGACACGCGGGCGCCTCGCTCGATCGCAGAGGAGAAGGCCTCGGCATGCTCCTCCACCCGCGCCTCGACCAGCCTGGAGTCACATCGCACGTACCTGGCGCCGCGCGAGCGGAAGTCAGCGAGGGCCGCCATTTCCGCCGATGCAGGGCTGGCGGCGCACGAGATGTCAAACAGCTCCGAGTCGACGTCGCGGAGCCGGCACTCGCCGAGCGCCCGCTGGAAAATGATGGAGTGGAGCAGGATTTTCAGCACCTCCTTGAGCTGGAAGCGCTCCACGTGCAGCTCCTCGAGTGCTATCTGCTCACAGTTCATGTGTCGCTATGCGCGCAGGCGTCCGGCTGCGGCAGCGCGACGAAAAAGAAATGTAATTTATGATGACCGAAATCCGGCGTGCCGTCCTCCCATCCCTCCCTTGGCCTGCATGTTTTCTTTCTTTTCCGGCCCGCTGGGTGCGCTTCTTAGCTCCTCGGCCCTGGATGTGAGGTTACCGACTGCACTCCAAGTGCTCCAAGTGCATAAGACTCGATAAGACGCGCTCTCCCTCAACCCTCCGCCTCTCTCTCGCCGTCGGCACCGTCGCCTCCCCTCCTCGCGACGCCGGAGCGGCGGAGCGGGAGGCCCATCTCGACGCCGGCGGCCTCCGGCAAAAGCTGCCAGTGCACGCCGTCGCTCGAGTGCAGCAGGCCGATCGCGGACTGGTGCGTCTGCGTCTCCGCCTCGCCCATCAGTGCCATCCACCAGCAGTCGCCCTCGGCCCAGACGAAGGGAGCGCCGTACCGGCCCGCCGTCCAGCGCGCCTCGCCCACCGAGAGGGCGCCCCGCCGCTGCCACGAGATCAGGTCGTCCTTCGAGACCGCGTGCGCGAGGTGCTGCGACTTGAGCCCCTCGCTGTAGATCATGACGGCGTCGGAACGGCGCCGGAAGACGGCGACGTTCTCGACGCCGTCCGGCGCGCGGCTCGACGTCCCGATGAGCGGCGCCTCGCGCGAGAGAACCTACGGGGCGCACCGTGCAGCGCCTCGCCCGCTCCGCTCGGGAGAGGCATCCCACCGGCCTGCTCGGCTGCACCTCCCACCTCTGCAGGTCGGGGTCGGTGCTCACCGCCTGGCCGAGCAGGTTTGCCCGCCGCCGATCGCCCCTCTGCCGCTTCGTGCTCCCCACAAAGAAGCAGTGCAGCCGCCCCTCCGAGTCGAGCACGAGTGTGGGGTCGATGGCGCGCCTAAAAAGAAATATCCGCCTAAAGAACAAATGTGGCGGCGAAATTGTGTGGCGTCGTCTGCGCGCCCTCCGGTATTCCACGGCAGCGTGAGCGCCTCGCGCAGGAAGGGGCGCGGCTCGCTCCAGATCTCGCTGCCGTCGTCGCGCCGCGAGAAGAACAGGCCCGAGGACTTGCCTCCGAGCGACTTGTCCGGGTAGGCCTGGAAAGCGATGATGGTGGCGTTGTCCCAGCGGATCGGCGCGTCGGGCGAGGCAAAGCCGGGTGGAGTGATGTCGCTGGGCTCGCTGAAGGTCTGCCAGTCTCGAGTGACGACGCGCGAGACGTAGTAGTCCTTGGCGCCTGCGCTGGTGAACATCGCCGCCGGATTGCCACGGAAGTAAGTGAAGAAGAGCTCGGCCTCACCGGCCTCATTCAGACGCACGGCCGGATCTCGCACGCGGCCCGGCAACGAAAAGACTGGATTGAACAGAGACCGCTTGGCACACGACGAGCTGTTGCGCCGGAGCGATGGGAACGAGAGCAGTGCCGGAAGCAGCACGTGCTGCATGGCCGAGGTACGGCAGCTGCAGCAGCGGCAACTCTTGCTCGACGACCGTCTGCCGCCTTGACTTTTCTGGCCGCTGACTTTGGCGGACCTGCGTGTCCGGGCCCGGGCAGCGTGCGACGGCGAGGCAGGGTGTGGCAGCGAGGTTGGCGTGCTGCCGACTTTGGGTGACGTGGCGACGAGAGTAGCAGCGGCGCACGCGCGGGCGACAGCGCCGAGTGCAGGCTCTGAAAGAAGAAAGAAAAAACGCCCCGGAGACTGTGGTGGTGCTCTCCCATCCCTCCCTTGGGTTGTCTGTTTTCTTTCTTTCTTTCTGTGGTGGTGCTAGCCGTCACCCATCCTTGGGAGTCTGCTTCCTCTCTCTCTTCTCAGTCCCTCGCCGGCGCAGCATCACGCGAGCAGCGGTCGTCACCCGCCGCAAACTTCTTTTCTTTCCCGCTGGTTCTCGAGATTGGAATCGTGGTAGAGGAATCGGGTTTTAGGTTTGTTGGTAGCACAGGGTGTAACGCCATCCAATCAGTTGACATCCCCGCCCCCCTCTACAAACGGCGGCGTGAAGAGGTAGCCCAGGCTTCGCATCAGCGCACCCAGCCGCGGTGCGCCCCGTTGCAGCGCCGCCACCGTCGCTGGCTGCAGCCGCGCCAGGTTGGAGCCGACCGTCAGCGAGTGGCGGTGCTTGCCGTCGGGCACAAAGTCGCCTCCATCCCGCGCAACGAGCCGCGAGTGGAGCTCCGAGCGCGCAGCGTCCGTCAGGGGGAGCCGGGCGAGGAGCACCGCGAGCCAGCCGCCAAAATCGGTCACCATGGTCTCGTATCGCGAGTGGAGCACCTCGAGTGAGGAGCCATGCGTCGCGCCGTGCTCTGACTGGCCGCGGGAGGGCCCGGTCTTGCGGCCCGTGCCGCACACGGTGAGAGCGCGCGCCTCGCGGAGCAGCACGGTGAGGCCCTCGTACGAGGCGAGCAGCCGCAGCGCGCCGCCAGGCTCTCCGCTGCCCGCCGCCTCGCCGAGCAGCTCTGACAGGAGGAATGCGTCCACGCCCGCGCTGAGGGGCGCTGCCGAGCTCGGGGCGTGCCTTCCCTGCTTGGGGCAGACGCGTGAGTCGTTGCGACAGTAGAACTGCGACACGAGCGCCTCGACCGGATGTCGCGTATGGACAACGACGACGCTCCGGAAGCCGGGAAACACAAAGGAGGCCGGGCGGCCCGGGGGTGAAGCCGTTCGTATCGGTGCTCGAACAAATCCAGAGCCGTGCAGCGCCGTCCACGCGCCGACAGAGGTGGCTGCGGCGGGGCCGTGGTCGAACAGCGGCGTACCCCCGAGAGCCAGCCTCTCTGCAGCTGACCGACCGGCGGGTGGGAAAGCGCTCAGTGATCCCTGCCGGAGCAGCCACGCCATCGGCTCCCGGTCGAGCCAGTCACTGCCATCACTCGCCTCGCCACTCGCGCACCCAGTGAAGGTGCGGTTGAGCTGCACTGCGTGGCTGCAAAACCAGCCGCGGGCTGGCACCTTCTTCTTGTCGTGGCTGCACGAAAGCCGCCCACCAAAGCCGCCAGGAGCGCACGCAGCCTCGATAGAGACGCTGCAGTTAGCGTGCCGCTGCTCGAGGACCTTGCACATGCCGCTGAGTACGGAGAGGTGCTTTGCGAACTGCCCAAGGAAGGTGGATCCCGTCTTTGGTAGCGCGTAAATGGAGAGGGCCACCGGGGAGGGGTCCGGCGAGCACAACATACACAGCCACTGTCAGTCTTTATCCGGCGGGCACTCTCGGGTGTTACAATGTGTTCATTCACAGCCTTGTTATTGAGAAGAAAATACCTCCATGGCTGCACAGACAGTCATGTTATTCATTCACGGCCTCGACAGAAAGGCAAACACAAAACTATTATCAATCAATCAAAGGTTGTATTTGGCAAACGACACAGACAGAGCTCTCACAAAATCGAGAGTCCTAAGAAATCGCAAACCCTGTCAGCACAGTCCTCCTCCCGGGGGAATGTGTTACGTCAGAAGCTACCCCGTAGGCTGCTGCACATTCTCCAGGTACGTACTCTCTCCAGGTAAGCTCTAAAAGTACGTACACTGAGAGGCCTAGAAATCGCGCGCCTCCCTCTCCCTTTTCTCCCAGTAAAAGTACGTACACTGAGAAAAACGAAAGGCCTTTTTGACCGCGCAAGATGTAAAGGGTGGCTAAGGCAAAGGGCTCTGGTGCCCGCAAGGCGCCCGCGTCGCAGACGCGGTACCATTGACAACACGAACAAATAGCAAAATCCGAATATCGTGCACGAACTGTGTGATCTCACACGGGGGCAAGCCTTCAGCTGGTGCCAAGACTTCCGTAAAGTTGAAACCAGAACGTCCGCCAAATCCGTGCAAATTCTTCAACCGCCCCAGTTCCAGACGGCGCCGTCAGCGGTGAGGGCGAAACTTTGGTGGCCTGCTGCCGACACAGAGACCACGCGCTGCCCAGCGAAGGCCTCGGCCTTCTTTGGCAGCAGCTGGTGATGCAGGTCGCCGTGGCCCAGCTTGCCCCAGGCTCCACACAGCCTCATGGCCCCAGCTTCACACAGCACCGGATGTCGACGGGGCCCTCGCAGCGAGAGAGGACGCGCACGAGGAGATCCTTGGGGAGGTCGAGGAGGCGGGCGGACGGCGGCGCGCGCGGCGAGGGCATAGCCTTTTATCTTGCTGAAACTGGCAGTGCGCATGCGCAGTTCAAGCGGCTGAGACGCTGCCGCTTCTCAGGCGAGCTCGTCCGGTGGAGGATCCATGAAGGATGGTCGCCCGCGCTCCGCCAGGCCAGGCTGATGTTTCGCCTGAATGCCTGCACGTGCAGCCAGCACTCAAACGAGCCGTAGTCCTTGGTGGCTCCCGTGAAGTTGCACACCGATTGCCCCTCCCGAGGCGTCACACCAGCAAAGTCCGGCGTGGCCAGCCGCCCAAAGGTAGCCCGGCTGAAGATCATGTGCACATCATTGAGTTGCACCTTGGAGCACGCCGACGGGCCCCAGAAGCAGCGGTATGTCCAGGCGATGTTATCACAGTTGGGAAGCGAGCGATGGGAGACGCTGATGGGATAGGTGATCGTGTCAGGCCTGGTGCGAAGCACTCGCGCAAAGCGGACTCCAAAGCGAAGCTCGTGCTTGCGGATGCGCTCCTCGCATAGCACGATTTGCCGCCACTGCTGCTTTTGCACCTTGGATCTATTGCTGCCCAGTATCGAGTTGATGCGGAAGACGGTCGCGTTGGGCACGCAAGAGCCCAAAAATTGAGAGCGGCACCGATCGAGGTCTGATCCCGCTCGCCACAGCCCGGTGAGGCAGACTGCGACACCGCGCTCTGCGGCGCGAGACTGTCTAGCACAGTTGCCTCTGGCCAGTTGAGCCATCAGAGTCGCGGTGGCGGCGGCGGAACAAAAGCTATGCGTCAGCCGCGGCGCGAGCAGGGCCCGGCCGTCCCAGAAAAAGAAAAAAAGGAATCTATACTGTCGCGAATTTCCACTTAACCCACCGCGCAGCCCCGGACACGCCCCCGAGCGCCGCGCGATCTCCAGAGCCCTGGGTGTGAAGCGCGAGTTGTGGATCAGGATTCTGGATACGCTCAGCCAAGCTATTTCTGGAGGCTTTCTTCGGTGCGCAATGCCTTAGACCCACGCGTGCGCTAGGATGCCCAGCTCCTCCCGCAGGCGCACAAAGTTCCGGTACACCTCGCTCAGCGCGACGGTCGGGTTTCGCCGCATCCTCCTATCCTTCCGGCTGCCGATGTGAAACCCGTGCGGATGGACGCAGACTTCCTTGCGAGTCGTGCAGCCCACGCGTGATGCTCGGGTCGCAGAGGCCCAGTGCTGCTCCCAAAGCAGCACGTCGACTAGTCCGCTGATGCTCGCGTTGGCGAGGAGCTGGTTGACTAGGCTCAGCTCCAGCGGCGAGTTGTCAATGTCGAGCTTGGCGACAACCAGGTCTGCGGGCTTGGCGAGGAGGGAGAGGAGGGACCACGGGTGGCGAGGGGAGCCTGGCTGGTCGTCGACGGGCACGTTGTAGAAGGTCGCACGGGCGGCGATCTCCAGCGGGACCTGCTCCCATAGCTCCTCGCCGCTGTGCGGCTCCGCCTCCCAGGCCTACGTGGTGGAGACCGAGGGACTGGACCGTCTTCGAAGTGGCCATGCAACTCGTGAATCTGCCGGGGGGCGGCGGCAAGTTGCCATACGCAATACTGGCGGATGATGCCGCATCTAGGGACGGGCGCGAGGATCCGATCAAACTGGACGCCGAGCGCAGCAAACTTGTCGACCAGCCACCTCGTCGCGGCGGCGCCAACCTCGCCCTCGCCCGCTCCGCCGCCCTTCCACAGCGAGGCGCCGATGTCAAGCAGGATTGCCCGTCCGCCCCGCCGGCGGAGCAGCGCCACCGCATCAAACTGGACGTAGCGAGTCGAGAGGATCTCCCCCATGTACTCTCGCGTCACCGGCGGCGCGGGCCAGGCGGAGAGATTGCGGCGCTGGCAGGGAAAATCCGGGTTCCTCAGCAACCCAACGAGCGGCTCGATCCGAATTTTTTGCCCGTGGCAGTTCATCACGCTCGCGTCGGCTGGCCATCGCACGGGACGGTAGAGGCGGCACAGCTCGTCCAGGCCGAATTTGGCCCGCGCCGTCTCGGCCGCCGCCAATGCGCGCACCCATGTCTGCTCCAGCTCGGATGGCGCGTAGCGGCAGCGAGGAGGCATATGTCGGCGATGGGGACGCGCGAAACTTGCAGTCACGTCCTTTGGCAATACCCGGAGCGGACCAAAAGGAAAAAGAAAACACTGCCTGAAGGAGGGATGAGGGATGCGCGTTGGTGAATTCTTCTTGGGCCTTCTCCCGCTCCCATGACGAGCGACCGCTCGGCGCGTCCCGTCAACAGCGCCTTCTCGCGGCGGACGCTGGACGCTGCGCCGCTCGCCTCCGCCTTTGAGCGGGAGGGCTATTTGCTGTTCCCACGGCTGCTGACCCGGCGCGCCACGGCGCAGGCTCAGCGGGCAGCCTCGCGCCTGTTGCGTCGCCGCCACGCGTCGGTGCCGTCCGGTTGGCTGCTCGGCCTCCACCAGCGCAACCAGCCAGAGCCGCAGCGGTGGGTCGAGCGCATCGCCGCCGACCCAGCCGTCGCCCGTCTGGTGCGGGCCCTGCTCGGCGGCAGCCGGCCGGTGCTGGTCTCCTCGCAGCTCTTCGTCAAGCGCGCCGCCGGCCGCGCCGACGACGAGGCGGCGCCCTCCTCGGGCGAGGTGCCGTGGCACCAGGACGGCGCCGCGGGCGGTTACTCGCTCGCCATCTGGCTGCCGCTCGACGCCATCGACCCGACGGGACACAACGGAGGGCTCGCGGTGCTGCCGCGGCTGCACGCGAGCGGCCGGCTGCCCAGCGAGCCTTGCGAGGCGAACGCGGCCTCGTTCGACCGCATCCAGCCCGAGGCGCTCGCCGGGCACGAGGCGACCGCCGTCCGGTACGCCCTCGCGGCCGGCGGCGCGGGGCTGCACGGCCCACTCACGCCACACTCGTCGCCCCCGAACGCGAGCGGCGCGGACCGGCGGGTGCTCGTGCTGCGCTACTGCGCGGCGGGTGCGCCGGCGGTGCGCGGCGAGCGGCTGTGGGCGCCAGGCGGCGCGGTCGCGGCCGCCGGCGGCGAGCCGCGCACGCAGATCCCGTGCTGGTCCTCGGGCGAGCTCATCGACCGGCAGGGCCTGCTGGTGGGCGGGGAGGGGGGGGCGGCAGCGCCGTCGCCGGACGGCGGCGGCAGCCCCAATGAATACGGGACGAAGCGGAAGCGAGGCGCGGGGTGAGCGTCCCTGCAGTATTTCTTGTGGGAAATTCGCGTGTGCTGGGGCCCGCCGGCGTGGCTAAAGAAAGAAAGAAAACGGCGGGATCCCAGTGCCAAAAGAGGGATGGGACGACGGCTAAATAAATAAATAAATAAAACGGACACCTCTACTAGGGGACGACGGCTAGGGCGCAGACCCGGTGGAATTTCTTTTTCTCGCGCAAGGCGCGGCCCGAAGAGCGAAGAAGGCCAAAGGCGAGGGTTGTTCGTCGCGACGCCAAGCTGCAGAACATATATGTGTGCAGGCCGCCCAGCGCCCATGACGCGTCAAGCTCAAGGAGTGAGGCGCGGAGCGCCGCGCGCGCGCGCGCGCGCGCGGAGCGCGCCCCGAAGAAAATTTTGAGGGTTTTGTGGAGGGCTAGATGCGATTTCTATTAAGAGTTTGACTCACACGCAGGAACCACTCGGCCCACCCACAGGCCCAATCTCAAGTGGCGGCGCTCCGCACCTACCCAGCGGCGCGCTCCGCGCGTGCTTTCCAGCGGCGCGCTCCGCGCGTGCTCTGCGGCAGTGCTACTGCAACTTCCGCAGCTCCAGCAGCTTAGGGTACCCCTAGGGTTCTGAGGGCCGGATTTTTTTAAGACCTTTTAAGAAATGAGGAGGTTTGGGGGCTCAAATTGTCATTTAAGAGATTGCAGGCACGGGGGGTCTCTCTTTTAAGACCGTTTAAGAAAATCGGCCTCACCGGCACGCGTCGCTGCGCGGAGGCTGCGTTCCGCGCCGTTTTCTCCAATACTGCCGTTATTAGGCACAAACCCGCCTCTGAAGGCACATCTGTAAGTCTGGTGCACTGGCAGGAGCCATACTCGCATAGGGGACGCGTGCCAGCTGACTGTAGCCAGCTTCCCCCGGCCTCCGGCGTCTACTGGGGAGCCTCCCGGACCATCGACCTCGGGAGCTCTCCCGCAGCGTTTAAGCGTTTAAGACCGTTTAAGGAATCGGCCCAGCAGCTCTTAAAACCGGCCTAGGCCGGTTTTAAGCCGTTTAAGCCGCAGGCGCCCCAGGGCCCACCCTTTTAAGCCTAGGGGTACCCTAAGTCCAGCAGGTATCAGCAGTGAGTTCACCGCCAGTTATCTGTGCCTCCGTTCGTCGCTCTCGTGCTTGATCGTCAGGCCGTGCTCTCACGTCCGCCGGAGCTACCTCGGCTATCGGCACCATTTTACAAGTTTGACCGCCGACATGTCGGGCGGTCCGGCTCAGTCAAGGCAGTGTCGCTCGGCGCTCGCTGGCTCCGTGGATGCTTGTGCTGCTGAGCAATCCAGGCGCACTTTGGCAGCCGGCGGCAGCGACTTGCGGCGTCAGCATTCGAACGGTTGAGTTGATTTGCTCTTGCTCCGCGGTATCTAGCCGGCGCGCTCCGCGCGGGTGTCCAGCTAGCGCGCTCCGCGCGTATGTCCAGGTAGCACCAGCGCGCTCCGCGCGCACCATATCTCAGTGCCTATGCTTATAGCCACTAAAAGCTCGTTTCTGCAGCTTGGTCGCGACGTCGTCCCGCACAATCTGTGGACGATGGACAAGTCGTGAAAATCGTACAGGTGGGAGATAATGCAGTCGGCACGAGGACGGCGAGCTCAACGGCGAGCTCAATGTTGTCCTGCGGCAAGACGAAGAGAGAGAGAGAGAGATTTTTAGAAGCCAACAAGAAATGTGTCACACAGAGTGATTTGCGCTCGGCAGCTTGTCGACTACCAGCCGGAGCCGGAGTCGGAACCGTAGCCGAGATGGTCTTCGAGGGTGTCGAATATGTCATTCGCCTCGCTAGTGGAGCCGGTGCCGCATGAGTCGCGGTCGGAGGAGGAGTCGTCGGAGGAGCGGTCGGACCGCTCGCGCTTGTCGCGCCTGATGCGCTCTGCGAGGGGGCCGGGGTCGTGGTCGTCGTGCTCGAGCGTTGGGTAGGTAGCGAAGACGAATGAGTCGAAGGCGAATGAGTTCAGCATGAACCAGCATGTCATAATGTCATTCGAACTCGAGTTGGCAACCCACGCTTCATAAGGTGCTGGTGTACACCTTGTACCGACACAGTGGTAGGCGCGCAGCGCCCACACCCGCCAGTGCGCGCCAGTCCCGTGTCTAGTGTCGTGCGAGGGCCGGCAAAATTCTTTTTGGGGGCGCGCCGCCAGGCGCGTCCCCACTTTTGTATCACAGCTGCGAGGGCCAACCAAGGGATTCGGAGCGGTCAGATAGGTAGCGAGCGGTCAAATAGGTCCTGGGCCGCAGGCCGGCGCGCAGCGCCACGCCGCCAGGCGTCCGCCGGAGGCCCGCCGGAGGCTCTTCCTGCGGCCACATTCTGGCAAGATTCCGCCGCGCTCAGATGTGCATGTCGCGCTTTTTGATCTCCCTGTGCTGGAAGTCGATCTTTTGCTCCAGATTCCGAATCGAAGCT